GTATTAAGCTTACTTGCCTGCAATACAAGAAAGAAAAGTTGTTGGAGATAAAACCATGGCTGTGATGAAAAAGATTAGGATTATTTTCATCAGAGAGGTATTAGTCATAATGACTTCTGATTATGGCTTTTGGTTTCTATAATTAAGCGCTTATATATATCCAAGTGTCTGGTATTTATATAAAGGAGATAAGAATTGATTAAAAAAAAACAAATATTATCATACATTTGATCCCAAAAAAAAAACCATACATTTTCCTATGGTCTTGTTCAAATTTTCTTGATGTTTGATTCTACTATTATAAAATATATTTTTTTTTAATCTTTGTTGCAGATAATGTATTCAAAGCTTTTGTGCATAGAATTTTTACAACTCTTGAAAATGTGATGTCTTCATCAATATTTTTTTAGAGAGGATGTTTGAATTCAAAGGTACGATACTACTATTAAACCTTTCGTCTCTAGTAATTGAAGGCTCCAAGTATGTCATCGTCTCATGTGATTAATTATTGGTTTTTTCGACGGTAGAAAATAGTGTATTCAACTAGTTATCCGTTGAATCTTGAATCAAATTTTATTTAATAAACTTTTCGTCAAAGTTGCATTGCATCTACATCGAGTGATGAAATTCGAGCTTAATATATAGTTGACTTCTTGTCATGGAAGAAAATAATTGACTTTTCTTTTCCGCCGAACCTAGGCAATCCAATATTTTTATTAAATAATAAATATCAACAAAATATCAAGAAATATGGTTTTTAAATTTGTTCTTCATTTTGAATAAAATAGTTATTTGTCTAAAGAGTAAAGATCACTTTCCAATTCATGGTCATTTTGCATGTTAAATCATCAAGAATTTGACAAAGACTTCATGGACATTATAGTGTATAGGTTTATGACTTTATGCTCATGTTGTCGCTATGTTCGGTCGGATTCGAAAGAGCCTGGAAGAGAAAACCATCACGTATTTTTTTTTTCTATAAACCAAATTAAGCCATTATCTATTTATTATTGTTGGATAGTAATAAATTTTGCTAAATTTTAGAACCCAAAAGTTGTATTATTCAAATTACAGAGATAGTTTATTTCTTTTTACATACAAAGACTATTTTACGCAGATATCAAACACATCGCATTAACCCATCTGATAGCAAAGTCACAATCTTTAGGGACCATCGGGACAGCGACATGGACAGCAGTAACCCGGTGGAGCCGGTGCGCAACACACACACTGTGGACACATGCGAATTGGTGGTGACGGTGCCATCAGCTTACGCCCTCCACCTTTCCATAAAAAAAACATCATTTTCGCTCTCTAAGAAAACCAAAACAGAGAGAGTGATATCGAAGATGGGGAAATCAAAAGATTAAGTAGTAGCTTACCTGCTAGAGACACACTAGCTGCTTGACATGGGAGTGTTGGAGACAAGACCAGCGCAAGAACAAGAAGGTATAGGAGGATGTTGGATCTTGATGGCACGGTTTCCATTGCGGCTGCTAATGTGTGGGAAAATGTTATTGAACTAAATGTGTTTTGCTGATGAAATTTGAAACCATGGTGAGAAGATGTTTATATAGCTGCATGCGGAGAGAGAGGCAAGTTGGCCAAGTAGAGGACTTAGCAATAAATTAATGACAGTGATCAAATCTATTCGCTTTGATGATGCACTTACGAATAACATTGATCAAATTATGGAGTAGTTACAAATAACATTGACCAAAATAAGCCATTCTCTTTGATGATGCAGCTATCTTTTGAGTTCATACGGTAGTTGTCAATTCCTTGTCTACCTGATAGATATCAAAATGGATACATGCTGCAGCTATTGCAAATAGTTGACCTTGAGAGATAGTTGTGGTGAGATGACTTTCTTTAAGCAAACAAAGTTATGTGAACTAGTAATCTTAATAAACATTATAACCATAAAATAGTCTTTACCAAAAGACTCAATACTCGTAGACTTATAACCATAAAACAATTTTTTTGAAAAGACACATCCCTAGCATTAATAAACTATAAACATTTTTTTAAAGATGCAACCCTAACCATAAAATATGCTACAATGTTACATAAATCAAAAATTTTAAGAACATCTACAATAGTAAAGTTATCAATACTTTTGAATAATTTTAAAATAATAAAATTATGTTTTTTATCATTTTTGAATAAATTTAAAGATTAGTAGCCATAAATAAACAAAATGTTCAACGAAAAAATATACAGAGCTAAAAACACAAATATATAGGTCAAACGGGTTTTTTCGTAAAGATGCAACCCTTGAAAATAATCATAAGGTAGTTATATCGAAAATATGAAATATTTCAAAATAATTTTAAAGTGGTTTTTTCGAAAGGAAACAACCATAAACGTACAACCATAAGCAATTATATCGAAAAAACAAAACTCTTAGAAATAATTATAAAGAGAATATATCAAAAAATGCAACTTTTGAAAAAGTCGTTATATCAAAAAAACAAAACCTTAAAAATTAACCATAAACTGGTTATTTTGAGAGGCCACAACCCATAAATATTTATTTTCTAAAATTGCTATTATTAATAGATT